TATGATATCACCTGTATGTGAAATTTTTAAAAATGACACAAATGAACTTATTTACAAAACAGAAACAGACTCACAGACACAGAAAACAAACTTATGGTTATCACAAGGGGAGGGGGGTGGGTGGAGGGATAAACTGGGAGTTTAGGATTTGCAGATACTAACTACTATATAAGAAATAAAGAACAAGGTCCTACTGTATAGCACAGGGAACTATATTCAATATCTTGTAATAGCTTAAATAAAAATGAATATATATATAAATGAATCACTATGCTATACACCAGAAATTAACACAACATTGTAAACCAATTATGCTTCAATTTAAAAAAATTTAAGTAAAAAGATATTCACAATAACTTATTGGATAATAGTAAAAAATTAGGACAATCTCAATGTTAAATAATCATTAGGTAAGTACATTCAAAGAATAAAATATTATGTAACCATTAGAAATTATTTTTGAAGGAAACAAATTCATAAATTGGGGAAATTAGAGAAGCAATTTAGAAATTCCTCATTGCTTTCAGGCCCATGTTGAGAAGTCTGCACTTGCTAGTCAGGCTGGAACCCTGTAAAGATTTCAAATTCAAGATGTTTTATCCTTTAAGAAACAAACTGGTAGTAAGAGATGCTCTTTAAAGCTGGAACCCCAACCATAATGTCTTACCTGAATAAACACAGATGTCCTCTTTGCAGGATCCCACAGGAACTCCACTGTATTTAGCTGGTTTGGATTAGCCCTAGGATCGATTATACCCACAGACATTGGGATATCTGAGAAACAAATGGTAATCATTGAACAATTCTGAGTGCTACTGGGTTTAAATAAGAAAGCACTGATTCTTATGTTATTGGTCCCTAATTATTAAGATTTTTGTGTATCATACCCTAAACCTCTTTTTGCCAAAAAAAGGTTTGATTAGAGCTAAAATTGACCTAAATACTTTCCTTCTGAGTATCTTTTTTCCACTTTAAAAAGTTTTAAAAATAAGATAATTTAAAAGTAGTTTCCTTTTAATTTGCCAAAATTCTATTTAAAGGTAGATTTAGTCTACACATAAGCTCTAGTGTCATAGAAATTTTAATTTACAATTTGCTTCACTTACAGTTTTATGATTAGTGTTACTGCTAGAAGTAAAGTAAGAGGACTGCCATAGAAGAATAAAGCAGTGTCTGGATAAAGGCAGAAAGCACTGTGTCACAAATAGAAGTGGGGAAAATTTAACTAAATAATTGATTCTGATTTATGAAGTCATCAAAGAATCCTGTATCTGGATGACACATCTTACACTCAAGAGAGAAGCAAAAATGAATGGGCTTTAGAACTTTGCTTTCCATTCCATATGGCACATACTCAAACATTATTCCCTGACTTCTATTAACATTCAAACTGGAGAGATAAGGCCAGGCTGATATCATAACTACTATAACTTTTCTACTGTTTTGGTGTCAATGATTCAAACAAGACAGCATTAAGTGGGTTCCCACTTTACAACATTAGCTTTGTTGGATTTATCCTAAAGTCAGTTTATCAAATGGATATCAGGATATCTGTATAAGAACCAATACTTTCTCAGGTAAAACTAGTAGTACTTAGATTTGTTTAACAACTATGTTTGCCAATTGGAGATAATAACCAATAAGAAATCAAAGACACAGATGCCAGAATTAAAAGTACATTCATGAAGAGAGGCTGCATGTGTGTTTCTAAAGATCCTTCCCTTATGCCCTGTGATTTAAGAAAAATGAATTCTTTTTTGTTTTATTCTCTAGTCTGTTGTATTTTTTAGATTCCACATATAAGTGATATTATACAGTATTTGTCTTTCTTTATCTGACTTATTTCACTTAGCATAATGCCCTCCAAGTCCATCCATGTTGCTACAAATGGCAAAATTTCATTAGTTTTTTATGGCTGAGTAGTGTTCCACTGTGTACATATACCGCATCTTCTTTATTCATTCATCTGTTGATGGGCACTTAGGTTGCTTCCATACTTCAGCAATTTAAATAATGTGGCTATGAACACTGGGATGCATGTATCTTTTCAAACTGGGGTTCTTGTTTCTTTCGGATATATACTCAGGAGTAGAACTGCTGAGTCATATGGTAGTTCTATTTTTGTTTTTTTGAGAAACCTCTATACTATTTTCCACTGTGGCTGTACCAATTTACATTCCCACCAACATGTACAGGTGTTCCCCCAAAGAAGGAAATTCTGACACATGCTACTATACAGATGAATCTTGAGGAGTACGCTAAGTGAAATAACCCAATCACAAGAAGACAAATACTGAATGATTTCACTTATATGAGGTACACTCTAAGTCTAGTCAAATTCATAGAGACAAAAGTAGAATGGTGGTTACCAGGATCTGGGGAGAGTAGGGAATGGAAAGTTATTGTTTCATGGGTACAGAGTTTCAGTTTCACAAGATGAAAAAAGTTCGAGAGATGAATGGTAGTGATGGTTGCACAATGTGAATGTACTTAATGCCACTGAGCTGTACTTAAAAATTATTAAAATGGAAAATTTTAAGTTATGTATATTTTACCACAACTAAATTAAAAAAACAAAAATAAAAAATCATCCTGAAGTAATGAATGCAATGTTTGTTATGGAACTAACGTATCTACACGTTCAAGTTGAATTCTGGTATCATTGTACCAGTGAGTTTTTTATGCTCGGTCAATAACCACTTCCAGGTTCATGTTAGTCGAGCACCCTGAAGCATTTTGAATCTAGGTAAACATCAAATAAAGAAAACCAATTCTTTGACCACAGTAACAGGCATTTCCTGAGCACTAGCTTCTCTTAACTTACCTATGTCCAGAATTCTATCTCCAGGTCGATTCCACCTCCAGCCCTCCAGCTGCTGATGTTCAGTGTACTGTAGCCGTCGGTCGTGGAATACTACACGGAATATGCTCTAAAAGGAAGCAGCAAAATGAAATGATAACAGGATCCCCTAAAAATCAGTGCTGACAAAGGAAAACCAGCAGAAGTCATCCCTAGTTGGTTTCTAGACACTACCTAAATTGTTTTTCGGGAGACTTGTTTTACTCTATAACTCATACCATCCTCTATTTCAAAGCACTTTCTAATAGCTCAGATATAATCTTTATAGTAAACTAGATCTTACTTAAAACTCGCCTTAAACATCAGTCCTGACTGGTAAAGGACAAGGCATAAAGGACTCCCACTGGAAGCATTTCTACATGCCTCTACTGTTACCACGGAACATCTGGCTCAGCGATTCAGATGTATATGAAAATCTCACCAAGGCCCCTGCCTGCTAACCTACCCTACAACCTATGACAACACTGAGGGGAGGCAGGGGATGCTTCTATCAACTTTCTGTTTGTTAATCTTACTTTGTAGAGGCGCCTATTAACATTCCTCTCATCACCTTTTATAGCAGCTGGCCAAACTCCTTGTCCAACTGTACTGTGAATTCATTACATTCATTTTCAGTCGTTTCAGTCCAGACTTAAAAACTGCTATTCATCAACAGTAGCTTCTGGTTTCCTTGCCACCAGATCGAGTATCCAAAGAGACACTGGAACTTCTCTAAAGATCCCAAGGAGGTTACTTTATTCTACCCAAAAAGAACTTTACTGAGCCAGAAAACCACCCCGACATCGAGTGCTAAGCTTGCTGTTGCCACAGCTCCAAAAGACCCACGTGAACAGGCAGGCTTGCCTTGACTCCAAAGAAGTAACACAACTGTTTACCACTCTGCCAGCAAACTGCAGCAGGTAAGAGATGCCACTAAGCCTTATATGGAAGAAAAAATCTAATACCAATCTAAAAAGGGTCGGTAAAAGGATATTGTGCAGGGGGATGATCTATTCATTTTCGTTTACCTTTACCAACTTGCCATTAATTTCTGGAAGTTCTCCAAGTTTCCTATTGTCTAGCATACGGATTTCATAAGACTGACCTAGAAGAAAAAGTAACTAAGTATTATATTCACCGCAAATTAACTACCCAAGATTTAGAAAGAATAAAAGTCAGTTGGCTGAACATACGAGTATAATATTACTAGTATTAGTAATAGCTATAGTCCTTTACTATATGCTAAGTGTTTTAATAAATTGTATCATTTAATTGATACAACTCTCTAAGGTATTATCATTCCCAGTTTTACATACGAGGAAACTGAAACATAGAGTTTAATCACCTTGTCCAAATCCACACAACTGGTAAACAATAGAACTGGGAAGGGTAATACTTCTCAAACAGGAACGAATGGGGATGTCCAGGGAACACGGATTAGAAAGAGGGAGATGGGAACTAAAAATGGGCAGGGAGACAAAAGAGATTAGTAATAAATATCAAATATGACACTGAGACTCAAATCTCTAAAGTAAGGTCTGACTTTAACAGGTCACACTAGAAAGATGTACTTTTTAATATGAGTGTACCTAATTAAATGTCATGAATCCAGCAGGTCTGCAATAATACTAATGAATAAGCCCATATCTAACCTTGATTGAGATATGTCAGGGTTTCATCATGGAGTTTCACTGCTGGAGAGGTGGCAGCACAAAGCACATACTGAAAAGGTAGGATTTTATTCTCATTATCTGGAGGCAAACTTGACTCTTCTTGCTTAAAAATGGGCAATGCGAGGACATCACTAAAATAAAACAAACAAATAACTTACTTTAACATCTGACAATGGTGGTGCAGATTTATTGTTGAAACCATTTAATACAATTTTTGGGAATTTATGCTTTGGGAAACCATAAACGTTACTCACCTTGGTGAAGTTTCTCCTAACCATTCAGTTCAGATTACCTGCTGTGATATCTCTCTGACCCCAATAATATGTGCAGGTATTCACTGCTAAAATCACTGAAGTGTCCAAAGAGAGCATTTCTAGGAATCATAAGACAGAGGCTCCTAAAAGGGCTCTGAAAATTATATGCAGACTTCCAAAATGTCTGTTTAGGACACTCAGTAATGTATTTCTCAAAAAGCCATCATCTGTAGTATATTTATAACCACATCAGCTCATCTAATTTAAAAACTAAAACAGAATCAAAAGTCCAGGAAGCCACATGAAAAGGATAAATCAATGACCAGTAGAGATTTCGAGGTCAGCTTACATTCTGTAGAATACAACTAATACTTAGATATCCCTACCAGCTACCTCCTCCAGAAAAGGCTTCTTCTATCTCTATCAGTTTATCTAAACTTGCAAACCAAAGAACACATCTAATGAATTCCAGTATGTTACTCATTCTGATGTGCTAATCAAAGAGTTCTGGACCAAGTTAGAAGTCCTGAGTGTCAGTCCATAAAACCTGTAGGCAAATCTTGGGCAAGCTCTCTTGAGTCTTCATTCCTTCATCCATAAAATGGGAACCACACTTACTGTCAAGATGATATACATGGGAAAATATTTTGGAAACCATAAGGGGCTAAAATGAATGGAAAAGATTAGCAATAATTCTCCCTCATAACTTCTAGCTATGGATTAGTGAGAAAGAATATCCTGGGCCCTGGAGACCAACTGTCATGATCAACATTCACCCCAGACCAAATTTTAGAAGGATCTTATAAGATGTACCAAATTAAAGAGTATTTCCAATTATCTCAAGACATGCCACAAACTTCTCAAAATAAAATGTACTTTAATTTACTTTAAAGAATATGCTAGGACGGATGAATTTGAGAATGACAACTCAAATGTTGGCAAGGATGTGAAGCAACCAGAACTCTCACACTTTGTCAGGAGGAATGTAAAATGATACAACCACTTTAGGCAGTCTCTTATCAATGTAAACTCTGCCCCTTGATCTATCAATTCTGCTCACAGGTATTCATCTAAGACAAATGAAAATATAAGTCCACCCAAAGACTTGTACATGAATGTCCACAGCATAAAAGCAAAAACTAGAAAGACTCCAAATGTTCATAACAAAGAAAATGGATGTACAAACTGTGGTATATTCACACAATGGACTATTACTCAGCAAAACAAGGAAGGTAACAAAATGGATGAATCTCACAGACATAATGCTGAACAAAGGAAGCCAGAAAAAATAATACATAATGCATGATTCCACTTACATGATGTTCTAAAACAGACAAAATGAAGGAGGACAGTGGTTTCCTAGGAGGGCAGGTAATGACTTAGAAGCTATAGAAGGAAACTTTCTGTGGAGACAAAAATGTTCTATATTATGTTAGGTGTGTGGGTTACATGGTTCTAACTGTACAGCCCAAATTTGTGCATTTCAACATACATAAATTTTACCTAAAAAATTATTGAGTGGAGGATGGGAAATGATATAAATGATAAAACAGTAGTAACATGTTGTAATTTTTAAAGCTGGAGGATAGGTACAAGAGGGTTCATTACACCTTTTGGTTTATATATGTTTGAAATTTTCTGCACTAAAGTTTTTTTAATAGAAAAAAATACATATAGGCCACAGTGTACTTCCAGGTATAAAAGAAAGGCAATAGATACGTGACATAAAATAAACAACTGAGATTCTAAAAGGACAGAGGTCAGGGATCTAGTGATTCTTGTCAACATTCCCCACATTCAAAATGAAACACACTCAAACCTTTACCTATAATTTAAACATTATGCTTATATTATAAAACAAAGAGATTTACAGATGGAAAGGCAATTCCTTACATACACTTATATCCTTCAGCAGTCTACATACTCCCCAAACATTGGATTATAAGGTTACTACCTTTAGGCAAAACCCACCATTGATAGAAAAATGACTGCAATCATGTGATTTGTATAGACAACATTTTAAATACTTACTAGAATATAAAACAATATTCTGATTATTGACCTAAGAATACACATAGGCGTAATAAAAATTTAGTGGTATGTATCCTAAAAAAGGAGGGGGCAGTTAGAAAAGAAATTTCTCTTTCTCCTAATATCTAAAATGTTATTAGCTGAATTCAGGCAGGTGAGATGTAAACCAGTTTTTATGAACACAGGTTTCTCGTTACTAAAAAGTATTTCAAAGGCCAGAAAAACAAAAGGTGTGTGAGCTTTGCTCTTCTTTAGGCCTGGAGGTGTGTGAGCTTTGCTCACATGGGTCAGGTTAAGAGTGGAGAAGGTGAAGAATTCTTTCTGTCCATATTAATTTGTCAGGTGGAACATACTATTGTTCCTTTGAGATTATAAAACTGTAGAGGCACTGGGTCTTCTAAAAAAGTGCTCTGTCCCAGTTCTTCCTCTTCTCAAAATCAGGAAGCTACCACTGCTCCCACAGCAAACAATAGAGAAAATAAAGCAAAACACTACAAACAAGAAACAGGACAATAGCGGGTGGGAAAGGATAAACTGGGAATTTGAGATTTACAGGTACTAACTAATATATATATAAAACAGATAAACAAGTTTATACTGTATAGCACAGGGAATTATATTCAATATCTTATGGTGAAAAGGAATATGAAAACGAATATATGTATGCTCATGTATGACTGAAGCATTATGCTGTACACCAGAAATTAACAGAACACTGTAAACTGACTATACTTCAATAAAAAATATGTATATACAAAAAAAAAAGAAACATGACATTAGTCTTTAGGAGACTGTTGCCTTATCATTCTCAAATGCATCATATCTGTTGTTTCCTTGAAACATTAGTGACTATTACCATGAATCAAGGCAAAATGGGTTTTGCAGCATAGCAACAGCTCAAACATTATAAATGTAGGGTGCTTTTTTTTTCCTTCTCAAATGTCAAATGTTGGTAAGGTTAATATATAACAACAGTTCCTAGTCTTCTCAGCATAATGTGGCCTCACGCCTAACCCCTCACGACTAAGCAAAAGATGTCATTTGAAGCTGGGATTCTAAAAGTTACCCCTAAAATTAACTCAAAACAGTACAGGCAAACCAAAGACACAAAACTATATTATCTCATCAGAGATTTGAAACCTAAAAACCTCAAATATATTTGAATTACACATGTTCTTGCTACACTGCATTGCTTTTCCTCTGCTGTGGGAGTAAGAATACCACTCAGTTCCGTATTCCTATAAATGGAGGCTAAAAGTTATTGATAAATACAGTTCTAGGTCCCTGCTTATACCAAAACAGTAACAAATAAATTTAGCGAAAAAGTTTTGGAAATTTGGAATTCTGCTCCTTCTCAGAAGTAAACTGAGTACAGATTTGGAAAATTTACTCTAGTGGACTCTAAGTAGTTGCTACCAATGTATAACTGACCATTTTATTATATTCTCTGATTACTTCATATATTTAATTCATTCCAATGAAGGAGAAACTATTTAAAGGGATAACTTTTCTTTTATGTGCTTAGTAAATATTTGTTCACATGATTTACATTTATTTGTCTGCATTGTCTAGAATATTCAGCCTTAATATATTTTAATCATTTTCAAATTTTCAGCATCTCACAGTATCTGTGATCAAATGTAAGAACAGAAAAATCTTACCTATTAAAGGTAAGTTGAATGTATGTTAAATATGTGCACCACTAAGTAGAAATCCACACCTGAGAGTAGAAGCCTAAGAGAAAGCATCTGAATGGAAGTAACAGAGGAACAGAAACAATAGCAGGTGTGACCTTTCCTGTATGCAACTGGGATTCCATGAAGGGTAGCTTCAGGGTCCCCTGAGGTATAAATTACCCTTTTGAGATAAGGTAGCCTCTGAATGGTCTCTACTAATGCACAGCTATGGTTTAACCTTCTACCAGCTGTTGAAACCCTCTTCTATGGAGAGCCTGGAGCAGGAGGGAGAGGTTTGATGAGCTTTACCTTGAGTAAGAGAGGCAGACAGACAGGTATCAGCAGCACCTAAGGAAATCAGAAAGTAACTTGGGACAATAAGATGCC